CCCACGGCAGCCGCGCCCCCCGGGCCTGCCGACCTGACAGGACAAGAATGGTGGACAGCCCGCCGTCCTTTCCAAAGGCTATGTCGGTGTCAAGGCGGTCCCCAACCATGCAGATCTCAGACCGATCAATGCCGGCATGCGTGGCAATGTCCGACAGCATGAAGTCGGCGGGCTTGCCCACCACGGTCGGCTCGCGCTTGGTCGAGCCTGCACGTGAGTTCGGCAGTAGAGTGATCAAAGCTTTGAAGTAGACGAAGTATGGTTCAAAAGCTGTGAGTGAAGAGTCTGTTGCAGCATGTGATCAAGAGTCTTGCTAGAAGACTTTTGAAGGCAGCATGGGTGGTGCGAGAGTGCACAGGACCTTGCACTTGCCATGTCTGCGCTTGGCTTGATGCAGGAATGATACCCCTATCCCCAGCCACTGGGCAATCCCACCAGAGATGAGCAGCAACCCCACCACTCCCATCACATCCACTGTCAGAGCCCACCTCTGAGGGCGCCCACCATGCTCCCAGCCCCTGCCCACTCCTGGGCGTCGGTGAGGTGAGTTACCGCGTCAAGGTTGGTGGCTATGAACAGGCACCCTGGGTTTTCTCGCAGGCACAGCGTCGCAATCTGGATCTTATAGTAGTTGACGAAGCGGTCAAAGCCGACCACCACCGCGCCCACCTGGGCCGGGGGCAAAAGAGGAGGAGTCGAAGGGAGAGTGAGCAGCCAGTTTGGACTTTGAGCAGGCGGGTTTCTGGCAGGGGCCGATGGAACTTGGGCAAGGCCAATGACTGCAACCGCACAAAAGAGAAGGGCCCGATTGCCCAACGTTATCATGCATGCAGAATCACACAACCCTTCCAGAAACTGTTCGGAAAACAAGCGTCCGACCCACATCAGGGTCCTGATCCAGCCGGAAGCCAGGCTTCAGCTCAACCCTGTGGTCTGCGTCAGCCGGGCCACCGAGATATTTGAAGCCCTTGAGTTCCAGCTCCTCCTGCAAAAGGGGGAAGGAAAGAGAGGAAGCGAGGCTAGTGAGAGATGTGAGCGTGTCATGCCATTTACCACCCATGACTCTTCAAGCCCCAAGCTGCAAGCAAGGACATTCCTCTTTGAGCGTGGCGCACAGTCTGTGCGCACACAGGCTTAGTGTGTTGCCGTCTCCTCACCAGGATGCCCTCCTGCCCGATAACATAGATTTTTTTGTCCTTGGGGAAGTTGATGGACTCCAGGTAGGATGCGGCAGCGTAGCTGGAGGAGTAAATCTCATCCTGTGATGGTAGATGGAGTGTGGCAGTCTTGAGATGGAGTTAAGGGGAGGGGGGAGGCTGCACCAGTCGAATGGATGGTCATGCAGAATGGAAGGGGTGCATCACGGGCCAATGCTTCTATCAGGACAAGGTTGAGGAGGCCACTGCAGAACGAAACCAATATTTCCAAAATGCAAGAGCACCGCCAGATGTAGTTCAACATTTCACAATCCTTGCGACTCACAGCTGAGATGTTGAGGCCCAAGGAGGTGAACTTCGAGAGGTAGCCTGCCCTCGACTTGGTGCTGTTGTTGGTCACAAAGTAGAGTTGCTTGCCCTGCAGCATTGAGGGTGATGGTTGGAACAATCATTGGATGTCATGGATCTCAAGAAGTGAATTTCGTGTTCTCAACAGTCTTTACCACAAGATTCCAAGCATTCTACGCCTCTTCCAGCCCTCACCAAGCTGCGGAGATGGTCCAGGGTCTCAGGGATGCCGGAAATGACCGAATCGCCCCTCCAGATCACGCCTTTGAGGTGGTAAATCACATCCAGAGTTGTGTCGATGGATGCAGAACCCAAGGTCATGAGAGCAAGCATGCCACAGGACTTGCTCCCAACCCAGCTGCATTCAGGTTAGGGCGCGCCTCACCGTCACAATCAAAAATGAAGCACTTGACCTTGTCCAGCAGACTCTTCACATCCTCCTTAGTAGCACGTTCGACTGAGCACAACGAAAGGAGATGGTTTGTCCTTCCTCAGAGCCGTTGCCGTGCTGCAAAGAGCAAGCGTTCCCCAGGGCATCTGCAGGTCATGCACACCCTACCCCCGCCACCCACCATTGTTCACAGGAGAGGTTTGTACGCCCATGGCCGCGAGTTTTACCGTGGGTTGCCGTGAAACTGTAGGAGGGCCTCGCGTTGTGAACGGCCGGGCTGCGCTCTTCGGCACTCTCTGAGGGAGTACACGGGGACACCAGGCGCTGAAGGTGACGGCCTGCCTGCTTACGTCAACCCTCATCTGCAGCTCCTGCACGCCGACTCCTGCTGCAGATGACTGATCGAAGCACAAGGATCGGTGGAAAGAACAGTCTTACGGCAAAATGGCGAGCAACCATGGTGCTGTCGCGGTGTGAGTTTCGTGGTGGGTGGTGCCCCGGATCCACAATCCTCAATCCACAGCAGAGGTTGCCAGCACGGCCCTGGGGAGCGGGTCCAGAGAAAGGAGCCGATTCGGCGCTTTCACACCGTCCTGAGTGCCGGAGTAACGCTTGAATATACAAAGTACGCTATTGTCCGGTGACGCCGCATTCTGATTGATTGACAAGGCAGCACTCGAGCATCACTGCCTGGAGGGATGGCGGAAGAGGCCGATGCCACGGTGAAGGAGCCTCTGGACCTGATCAAGCTCAGCTTGGACGAGCGAGTATACGTGAAACTGAAGGGGGACAGAGAGCTGCGCGGCAAGCTGCACGTACGTTTGATGGTTGGGGTCTCCAGGGCTGCCACTCTGAGTTTCATGTTCCTGCAACAGCAACCTCCTGCTCGGTCCACCACGCTTCCCAGGCGTATGATCAGCACCTCAATATGATCCTCGGGGATGTGGAAGAGGTGGTGACCAGCGTGGATATCGATGAGGAGACCTTTGAGGAGATAGTCAGGGTGAGCAGCTGGAGGGTTGTACACACTGGTAGCAATGGGCAATGGTGAGTCAAGCGCAGTCTCAGAAATGCACCCCTCTCCCAACGTCTTGCAGACGAACAAGCGAATGCTGCCCTACCTCTTCCTCAGAGGGGATGGCGTCATCTTGGTGTCACCGCCGCTCAGATCATAGGCAGTGAGGGCATTCGGGCGCCAATGCCGCCTCACCTTATGCTGTCATGTGCAGACCAGCTCTCTAGGCTTGCTGTGATGCCCGCAGCACTTCTGTGGGGACAATGACTTGCTGCAGGGTGGAATAGGGTACCCGGCACACCCTTGCCCACCCTAAGCCCTTTGCATCGGGGAGGCAGCAGCTCCTATCCATCTCTGGTGCCCTGGTATGGCTGCTCGTAATGGATATGGGCTCTTCATGAACTCATACTTGTTAAACCTATTGCAACACGGCAATACGGGCAACACACTGTCAGGAAGGGGTTCCCGCCCTCGTAAATTCTCCGATGCTGGATCTCTCCGCGAAGACCGAGCATGGAAGCACGGCATCACATCAGAGCTCAGCAACTGTGTTGCACCAATCTCGTTCGTTGTCGATCTGCTCTTACGGGCAGGCCTCGCGACGCCTTCCCATCCCCTGACTTTCCCTGGCCCCAGCCAGCCAGCCCCTACCACGTCCTCCTCGTAACCCTTGGCAGTTCTCTCCTGGCCAGTCTCTGCGAATCGTGGGATCGACGAAAGGATCCTAACTTGAGGCGCACCGTTAAAACTTACCGGGCGCGGTGTTTGCCACCATGTCGACCGCAGAGATGTGCTTGTTTAACGTCAAGGACGGGTTTCTAGGTAGGCTGCCCTCACTGTATTGCCAAAGACGAAGCAATCCGTCCAGTTACCTTTCGTCAGCGCGACATGGTGCCTTCACGCACTGCTCCTTACCCCTTGCAGAGGGCGTCGTCCGAGGGTACAAGCTGGGCTTGCTCACCGCTGCCGACTACAACAATCTGTCCCAGTGCGAAAATCTGGAAGATATCAAGCTGTATCTGGTGAGTCGATCGTGGCTGCAGCGGGTTTGCCGTGAAGAGGACACTGCTATGTACAGCGATGCTGCGTCCTCTGACGCACCCTCTGGCTCCCCCCTCCCATGCCACCACCAGACCGGGACAGATTATGCTCAGTACGTCTCCAACGAGGCGGGGCCCCTGCACACAACGACGCTGGTGGAGTGCTGCACGCGGAAGCTGGTGGACGACTGGGAGTACCTGCGTCAGAATGTGAGGATCCTGAGTTTGAGGAATGGAACGCCTTGGGAGGGCTGAGGTCTTGATATACACTAAGAGAGGGGGATATCCTTGGGGTCCATTGTCCCGTCAAAATAGCATCGCTGCTGAGAATCCAGTTCTCCAGCCTACACGCCGGTGACTGGTTGGCCAGGTTATGGGATCACCGCGTCCTCCTCTCACAACTCCTCTCGTCCCCCTGATCTCTTTCCGCACAGGCTTCCGAGCCTCTGGGCACCTTCCTGGACTACTGCACCTTTGGCCACATGATCGACAACATCGTCCTGATTGTGACCGGCACACTACATGAGCGGGACGTGCAGGCGAGTGGAGGGGTGTGGCGGCATGATCCTGGGACCTTGCAAAACGGTTGGCGCTGTAGAGGACCCCTCCTGGCCGCCGGTGGCAGATCCCGCGGCGCTGCCTTGCACTGTGTGGTGCCGCCGCCTGATGCACACTCGCTCTGGGGATTGGCGTGCTGCATTGCTCCTATCATGCTTTACACACAAGCACACAAACCTGCTCTCGCTCTCTCACGCACACAGGAGCTGCTGGACAAGTGCAACCCGCTGGGCGTCTTCGATGCCATCGCCACCCTGGCCGTCGCCCAGAACATGCGCGACCTGTACCGCCTCGTCCTGGTGGACACCCCCCTGGCGCCCTACTTCTCCGGTGCGCTTGATGAAGGGGTGGGGTACTTGGCGGGAAGCTGTGGGGTGCACGCCAGGCGGCTGACTCAAAAGGTTTCCAGCAAGACCCTCATGGCACCCTCGGCGCTGGATGCCTCCATCCCCACAGGATACGTCTGATGGCTTCACACGCTCTGTCACCCACCCACACATGCACCCACTGACACCCCTTCTCGCCCACCCCCCCTCCCCCCCGCAGAGCACCTGACCTCGGAGGACCTCGACGAGATGAACATCGAGGTGCTCCGCAACACGCTGTACAAGGCCTACCTGGACGACTTTGCGGGGCTGTGCGGGCGCCTGGGCGGCGCCACGCACCAAGTCATGGGAGACCTTCTGGCCTTCGAGGCCGATCGCCGCGCGCTGAACATCACGCTCAACTCCATCGGCACGGAGCTGACGCGCGACGACCGGCGCCGGCTCTACGCCAACTTTGGGCTCCTCTACCCCAATGGTGGTAGCTTGGGACTGAGGGTCTGGGTTGGGAGGGTTTTGTGGGGGGCAGGGAAGGGGAGGAGGGTGTTCCTGCGTGTTGGGGCGAGGCGCAACCAATGCGTCTCCGGCGGCACTGTTGCTGGAGTTTCATTGGTTGGTTGAGGGCCACGTGACCCTGTTTGCTTCAGAAAGTAACCCTCCCACCTACACCACAGCCAATGAGCATGCCTTCACACACCTCACCCTCTTCCAGGCCAGAACGAGCTGGCGCTGGCAGAGGACTTTGATCAGATCCGGGCCGCCATGGAGAAGTGTCCGCCGTACCAGGCCATCTTCAGCAAGGTGTGCGGGTGCCAGTGGCTGCGAGGGCAGGGGGGTAGCGAGGCAAGAGAGGGACCTCGTGCTGGTCAGGAAGGAGGAGACGAGGCCTGTCTTGCCCAGGTTGATACCCGTGGGCAGGCACCACTCTCACATTCAATAACACCCTACAACACTTCATGCCCTGCCTGACACCTGCTTCTCATGCCTTCCCAACCCCTGCACAGCTGGGCGCGGGCGAGTCGGTGATGCTGGACAAGGTGCTATATGAGGAGGAGGCCAAGCGCGCCATGCAGACGTTTGAGCAGCAGTTCCACTACGGCGTGTTTTACTCCTACATGCGCCTGAGGTGCGTGGTGTGTTGACTGGTGGGGAGTGTGGAAGGCTCCTGGAGTGAACAGGTGGTGATCACAGCAGCCCCATGATTGGTCTGGGGTGGGTGCATGCATGGTGGAGGGCTCGCCATGACACTATCAAGCCGATTGTGTATGGCACCCAACACCCCTCCACACCCGCTGCATGCACACCAGGGAGCAAGAGATCCGGAACATTATGTGGATTGCAGAGTGCGTGGCGCAGGGCCAGAAGGGCCGCATCAACGACGGCATCGTGCCCCTCTTCTGACCGCCACAATCCCCCTTGTCCCCTGTAATATACGTCTTCCTCTCAAAATCAAAGCAGGATGCAAAACGATCGTGCACACGGCGGCGCATGTGCAGGGGGACGAGGTGTTTCCAACCTGGTGCCAGCCTGTGGCTACTCCAGTCCTGCACAAGCACGATGTGTCGACGCGGGCCAAGGCAAGCTCTGGTCTCCCATGCAAGTAGAATCAAACCATCTCAGGCCGCCAGGCTTGGCACAGGGAGGTCGGTTTGTGCAGGCCCCTAGTTGACGATGACCTTGCCCTGCATGCCGGCACCTTGGTGGGGCTCGCAGTAGTAGTTGTACTCGCCAGCCACATCAAACTTGGAGGTCACAGACTGGCCGGGGGCGTTGAGGTAGTCCTCATGGTTCAGGCTCGACACGTTCACGCCAGACTACAGGGATGGGGAGGAGGGGATAAGATGGGTGAGGGGAGTGGGGCCGCAGCATGAGCATGCAGCATGATCATGCAGCATGATGGTCGAAGCAGGTCTCCTGGACATGCTGAGAAGGACTCACCGGCACCCCATCCTCGTCGAAGACGATGTTGTGGGGGAAGCCGGCGTTGTTCTGCCAGGTGACGGAGTCGCCCTTGGAGATGGTCACCGTCTCGGGGTCGAACTGCAGGCCGCCTGCATGGTGCAGTACATTAATGGAGCACATGAATGAGTGCACCCTGGGTGATAGGCAGTCCCCAGGCTCCCCCGGCAGAAAACGATGCCTTCCGCATCATCCCAGCAATGACCGCATGAGAACACATTTGACAACGGAGGACATTGCTCTAGTGTAGATGGGCAAGGGCCGGCTCCCGGACAACATGGCATAGTGTCGGCAGAGGATCCGATGACGGTGTGAGATTCCCACCACATCCCACACGCACCGGAATCGGTTCCGAGCTTCACGGTCGCAGCATTGGCGGTGAGAGTCAGGCCAATGGAGGCCAGACCGACTCCCGCCACGCTGGCCCAGCGACGAGCATCGAAGGCAGCCACGCAGCGGGTTGCCCGGGTGGAGGTCCTGGCAGTGTGGGTGGTCGCCACCAGGGCGCTGCCACGCATGGCGCTGACTGAGGTCTGCATGTTATCTAGGCGGTGATCTAGGAGTAGTGCAAGGGTGATAAGCTGCCTCGGTTGCGCGATGGTGTGAATTAACGCGGCAGTCTACACGCAACTGGTGGAGATAAATCATGATGCCGCCGGGGTCGAAAGCGGGGTGCAGATTTCTGGGGAAGCTGAGAGGGACACTTCCACGTCGCCGAGACGAAGCCACATTTGAACGTGGGCAGAAGAAGGACACAGGCAACAAAAATGTGGATGTTACGAATAATTTGATTCTGGAACGGATTCCCCGGACACGTCCCTTTCTCTGCTGGACACTGTTTGGATATGTCGCTCTATCTGAGTACGAAGAGATACATGGTATCTAAGAGGGTCAGCACCTTGATGATTGCACACCCAGGTATCTTGAAGGTGCCTGTCTTCGGATCCAAGGCCTGTACGGTCTGAGCAAGACATCGGTACCATAATTGTTTTGGGACTGAACATAGAGCCTTGTCGTCAACTAACCGTGATGCCAGTGGCGGAGGCATTGTGGAGAGAATAACGATGAAGGGTATCCGATGTGCGAGAGGAGTTTTGGCATGATAGGGTTGCAATCTTTCATGAGAAAGCTGTCGTGGCGGCAAGTCAAAAAGGGAGGGGACACATAAGCTGGGCATCTATGGCCCCACCTTGCACTTTATCCCCAGCGCCTACGTACCACGAACCAACCGCTATAATCAGTGCCCATCTGCATCATACTGTGATTGCCAACCATCTCGTCAATGTAGTCTGCTGTCCTGAACCCTTCTTCCCCACCCAGCCATGCCGGGCACGGGCCCGCTCCCCGGCGCGGAGCTGGCCGTCAGCGAGCTCGAGGAGCACTCTCTGCTCCTTGAAAATGGTACACAAAAGGTTCTGGAGCTCGGCGCAAAGTCGAAGGTGGGAGTGAAGCATGCTGCCGTCACCACCTGGCTGTCCGTCAGCCCCAACGGAACGGCCGCGCTGCTGGAACTGGGTAAGCTCAAGGTCACCCACCAGCTGGGAGTCCAGCTGCGGGACCTCAGGTGGGCTGGTTGCGCTGGTGTGCGGCGGCACACCCGGGCAGAGGGTTGGGATGCCTGCCCTTGGCCCAGGCGAGACAGAACACCCAGTGAGTAGGTGCACCCGGGAACAACCCCCTTCCCGCCCGCAACCTTCCCACCCCTCAGGCTGCTGGACCCCCAGCTGGCCAACAGCTACCCCTCGGCCATCCTGGCGCGCGACCGCGCGCTGGTCCTGAACCTGGAGTACATCAAGTGCATCATCACCATGGACATGGTGTACGTGACGGGGCTGACCAGCCCCCTCACCCTCCAGTTCGTGCACGGCATGCAGCAGCGGCTGGCGGCGCGGGAGGCCGGGGCGGAGGCGGGGGGCCCGCACAGCGCACGCCAGGCGTTCGGCGGGGACCTGAAGGACGGCGGGGTCGCGGCGCCCTCCCACCTGCTGCTGGGAGGAGGTAGGGAGGGTGGCGGCGGTGCTGCTCAGCAGGAGGGCACCTCAGTGGGCTGTTGATGAGACAGTGCATGCTGAGCCCACCCAGCCCATGCAGTGGTCACTGGGGGCAAACGTTGGCCACATTCCACGGGACCCCTTTGAATCATGGTGCCTCAGAGCAATCAAACTTGCAGACCCTGCACCCACGTCGTGCCTCGTCGCCACGCAGATGGGGAGAAGAGGGCCCTGCGGCCCCCGCCCCAGGAGCTCCCCTTCGAGCTCAAGGTGCTGGAGATTGCGCTGGAGTGCGTCTCCGGCGATCTGGAGCAGCTGGCAGAGGAGCTGGAAAGCGCGGCGCACCCCGCGCTGGACAATCTGACCAGCAAGGTGCGTGGTGGGGGGAATCTCGGACAGCATGCGATTCACATTGCAGGGAGGGTGTGCTGATGCGTCGCGTGGCTGGGCATGTGGGAGTGTGATGTGTTGTTTCCAATGGATCCCTGCCAGGGGATGGAGGCCAGGCTGGCTGCACCTGGATGATGAGGACACATTGACGCTCTGCTGGCCCTGACCTGGACCTGGTCGCCCTCGCAGATCACCACCAGCGCTCTGGAAAGGGTGCGCAGGATCAAGAGTCGCATGGTCCGCCTGAACACGAGGGTGGAGACGGTGAGTGCTGGGGCGCGGGGCTGGAGTGGCCTTGAGGTGTGTACTGCAGTGTTCTTGGTGGCGAGGCGGTGGATGCCATGAGTCCAACTGCCATGCCAACCGGTGACAGCAGCCATGACTCGCCTTTCCACCCCTCCCTCCACGTTCACCACCATCCCAACAGCTTCGAGAGGTGTTGGAGAAGTTCCTGAACGACGACTCGGACATGAAGGACCTTCACCTCACTGCCAAGGTAGGGAAGCATGGTGTGGGGGCCCAGGCTCAAAACCCTCTCTTGCCAGCAACGCCGGCCCAGGGTGGTGGAGCAAGGCGGCGCCGAACACCCTTCCCACTCACCCTCACTTCCCTTGCCGTGTCCAATCCGTACATAATGCCAACCTCCCACCGCAGGAGAGGGAGTGGCAGGAGGCCCAGCTGCAGAACGTAGACTCCTGGCCGGAGCCAGGGCTGGGCCAGGTCCCCCTGGACCAAACCATGACCCCCGGGGACGAGTTCGTGCCTGCGTCCCCGGTATGTCGCATTGGCGCGAGGGTGTTGAGTGGGCATGGGTATTCAGGCTGCTGCACCCCCACCTTTGGGTTATGGGGAGGGGGCCTGGTGCCCTCCAGCCTGCACACCCGGTAATCAATCACTGCATGTCCTTTTGGGGCAGACAGGCTGCATTCCCTCCTGTAAGAACCCCCGCAACCCCCTGCCCCCACTCAGAGCTTCGCCCCCACCCCCGCCACCGGCCCCGAGAGCGCCAGGTGGAATTTGGGTAAGCGCGGTCGGTCCCGCCGCCACTCCGACGCCTCCTCCAGCAGCTCCAGCAGCAGCTCCTCGGATTCGTCCCTGGGCGATGACGAGGACGTGGCCATGGTGGAGATGCTGCTGGAGCCCTACTTCATGCAGCTAGACAACACTTACAACAAGCTGCAGACGCTGTATGAGTACATCGACGACACGGAGGTGAGACCTTGGGATCGTGGGGTTAGGGGGGTTGGGGCGTGGTCAGCGATGCCTCGGCTGGACCCTTGCCCGGCACGTCGGTGCTGTGTCACTGCTCGGCCTGCCATGAATGCGATGCTCATAGCACACCCTGCGTCGCCCATCATTCATTGCTGGCCGCTTGCACTCCCACCCTTGCCAGGATTTCATCAACCTGGAACTGGACTCCAAACGCAATCAGATCATCAGGGTGAGGCATGGCAAGGGGCTTGATGCGAATGCCCCTGGAGGGTGGAGCGGGCCATGCATCATGGCAGCCACACGGCGTCGAGGAATGGCACTCTGCAGGCATGTGCTGCCGCCGTCCACTCCCCCCCCCCCCCCCCCTCGATCCCCCCACCCTTGGACACATGCAGATGCAACTCGTGCTGACGTCTTTCAATGCCTCGGTTGCCCTGGTGACCGCCTTCACCTCGCTCTTCGCCATGAACTTGGAAATGAAGCCCGCCGACGAGTGGCCGGGGCAGGTGCGGCGGGGTGCGGGGACCCTGCGTGTGTGTTTGGCGGGTCTGTGCGGGCGCTGGGCCCCGGGCCACGCCCCGCGCGGGACTGTCCTGTGCCGAAGCGGCGCGCCCCTTTCATGCGCATCCGTCGTGGGTCTGGGGACCCGCCTGCCTTCAACCTGACCCGGGCATGCACGCTCTGGCAGCACCAACCCCAGA